GAAGACTTTTTCTTTGGGATATATGATAAGGAAGAATTCATGAGCATTGTTCTCTTGTCTCGCATTCAAGGATCCTTGACTTAAGCTACAACCACTCTTGAAATGAATTAGAGAGGGGATGAAACCCCTGAGGGCTGCAATAACTGGGTAGGTTCAGCAAACTGATCGTCCAGACACTCCTTTTAGACAAATGTCCAATATCACCCAAAGACCTGACAGAATAAATTACCGGTGATTTACCAAATTCTAAATAGATGTTTGTCTCTGATTGATATGATTGTTTACCTAATATGAAATCGTTAAATATTCTGTCATAGTCAATGTATTCGTTCAATTGGACAAATATTTATTATGTTTTGGAGTGTTTGATAATCCAGAATTGTTTGTGTAAGTTGTCAAAATGCAGCTATTCTTGGCATCGTTCATGATTATTTATCATAAATTGCCGAAATATTTATTTATTATCGTTCGTAACGTTTATTGCTAATATTCAATTGAATTAAATCAATTTGTAGAACATGTTGAGCATGATAATATTTGTGTTTTAGTTATTTAATATTCTAAAAGAAATAATTCAATCATCTAAACAAGTAGTTGCTCGATAACTTCGTGATAGTCGGCATTGATTTGCTTAATCACGAATTGTTGTGGAATAATGTGTACCAACAGATGATATATTCGATAATATCTGTTGTCACAAGATAAAGAGCGTGCAATCACAAATTCTCTTCTAATTTCTTCTGTCGTTATAACAGGAGTAATTCATCCGTTATGACAAGAATAGAAACTCATTTTCCAGCTAATCTCATATATAATCAAACGAGAATGAATTACATTACTTTTAATACAGTTTATTCTCAAGTTTATATCAAAAAGCTTACTAATAATTCATGCATTGAAACAAAATTTCACATAATCAGTTGTTTACTGTAATCAGTAGTGAATATCAATTTGATCAAGTTTCAAGAAAAACTCTTCTAATCATTGACACAAATTTCTTTCATTTCGATTCATTGAATGAGTGTATGCATGCATAGTATTTCGTACAGTAGTGTGACATAAACTTGTTATTCAACAAAGGCAGGAATGTCAATAGGAGAGACGCATGATGCATATCGCTCTCCTGCTTTTGAACATCGTCTGCTAAACATTTCCTTCTTTTGAAACTAGTCTTTAACGATAGTAAAATTCAAACTATATCCATATTACACCGCTTTTGCTTTAAGTCTCGAGTTACGCGCCTGAACAGATGTTACCAAAAGTGAAAAGTTTGTTTATGTGAACAAATGAATCCTTATTAAATTTTTTTTTGTATAAACTTTTATTTAATCATCATCTCAACAAAGAACGAATGAGTGCAATAATGAATAAACTCATAGAAAAATGATTAACAGAATCAATAAGGTGACGAAAAATAACAGAGTGTAAAACAAAAAACAAACAAACAGTCAATTAGAAATAAATGTTGAAATTGTCCAATGTCTATTACCGATTAAACATCACGATCGTTTTTCATGAACTGATAGAGCTCTTTAATTAATGAATTTTTACTTTGTCGTAATTCTCCATATCGTGTCGCTTGTTGTTCGTTTAACAAGACAGTCGGTCCCATTTCTTCCATCAGAAAATGTAGTTGTAATTCACTCAAAAACCATCAGAACGAGTTCAAAACTTCAGGGTATAATTAATATTGTCCGCAAAACGTGATTATAAGATCGAAAAAATCAAAAAATCATATTTTTGTTATTGGGTTTTCCAGAAAACATTTTGCAAAAGTATAGGGTTTTGCAAATGTCTTTCAAGATCCCCTATAAATACGATATACAATACCTTAAATACTCTACATTTTGAAGTCTTGAACGCTGATGGTTTTTGAGTGAATAGTGAATTTTTTAATATTAGATGAAAACAGTGTAAAAAGCCTAATTTTCGTGAAACTGACTTTTCGGTAGATTTGAAAACTTTTTTCCAAGAACAAATATTGCCATGATGTTTAACATAGTCGATAACCTATAATTTAAGTCTTTTGTGGGCTTGAAAAAGTTAAAAAAACTGAATCTTGGCAGTCTCAGGAAGGACCGCATGCTCTCCGGACCGTTAGGGATAAAACCCTTGTTCATAAGGGTATTTGTAGACTAATGTATGGTTGTTCGAATCCCGCAGTCCGCATTAAAAAACACTTTTTTCTTCGTTCCGTTCGGAGATCCTCTTTGAAAGATTTATGTGGTACACTACCTGCAGCTGGTGGGATGCTCGAAAAAAACACATTTCCTAATTTCTACAAGTGTCAGCTACACAGTGGTGAAAACCGCATGTCTCTATCTCTTTTCTATCGCGAGTTATTCAAAAAACAGCAAGATGCCTTGTATTTTGAAACAGATAGTATACTAAATTGATTTGATACACGATATCTAGGCAAATCGAGAGTTCTGATGTTCGGACTATGACAAGTATCAAATCCAAACATCATTTGACCCAATTTCGACTTACCGGTTTTGCCAGTACCGACTAATCCCACAGATCTTGGGATAACAAAGTACGTAATTGATAATGTGCAACCATACACTTTAACACTTTGAGACAATGTTTTCTCGATTCTTTCGCCATCTGCATTGCAGTTAACATCGGTAAAGCAGTAGCAATTGTATTAGTGGATTTACCAATCTTCCCATTTTGCCATTGTATCATAACATCTTGTAGTGAAGCAAACATTGAGGGAACTTTCACGTCAAAATTATTATTCTCTAATTCATCATTTTTAGTCTCTAATAATTGTCTTATTAAATGATTGTCTTTACAATCAACGCTATCTGATATTACCATATTACTATCTTCGTTAGTAGAGTATAATAGTGTTTGATAAACCTGGACCATTGTCGAAGAATTTGGAAGGAAGTATTCTTTAGTTATAGCCCTACTCTCACTTTGAAATTTATATTTAATAGTTAATAAGTGGTGTAATACATCGGTACGTCGAAGTTCGTCATTATCAGTTGACAAAGAAATATGCAATAATTGGGCTGTCATATGATCAATACTAGCAGCCGTGACTGGTGGTCGTCTAGAACTGCTACTTGTAATAAACGATCTCTCACCCGTAAATAAAGAGTACATAAAAGCAAGACGATATAATTTATCAATAGATAAATCGGCAATTTGTCTTTGCCGTCCGGTTAGTTAGTTTAAACTGTATTTATTTAAATAACAAGTAAAAAAAAAAAGAAGAATATGTAATCTTAAAGATGGAATCGACAGAAGTCATTGCACCTTCTCCTTGATTACCATAAACTATAGCAAAATAATATAAATAAATATGTCTTTGATGTTACAATATTTGAGTAGGAGTAACAAAATCCTAATCACTGAAAAAAGATAAAAAAAAGAAAGAAAAGAAAGAGTGTGAGAGAGAGGGATAGTAAGAGAGATTACATAACTTTTAGAGTTAACATAATATTTATCTGTCAACAGCAAATCTTAAGGTTTCATCAATGTATTTAACAAC